GAAGAAAGTCTACCTTCCTCGCCCGAATTACACTTTTAACTTTTGAGAGTGATTTGACTAAATCTCCCAATTATCTTTTCTTGTCTTGGACAACCGGTTTGTACCCGTAATTGGTTGCTGCGTTCTTTTGCAATTTTGGTTCTAATAGTTTGTTTTTATTTTTACGTTTAGCCACATGCAGTGAGCTGTATGTGTACAAATTTGTATCTATATTTTGCCTTATGCTTCAAATTGTACGTTGGGTTGTAATAAATTCATCTTAGTTTAGTAATAAAATTATAGGTTTGTGCCTTGAGTGGAATTGGGGAAGTTGCTGCGCGGGCTGCACAACAGCTGCTGTGCGGCGAAATGGGCCCATTTCGGGACCTATTTTGATAATCTGAACCATTCACATTTTAGAATACATCAAGTAGGATATGCCTGTAAAAAGTCAAGTTAATCGGATATTTGTTTACCTATTCATCTACTCACATATGTATTTATTTTAATACTTTAAATCACAATTATTATTTATTTTTGTAGATGTAAATGTGAGTGGATGAATGTATAAACGATATCCGATTAACTTGATGTTTTGCAGGCATCTTCTATTTGATGTATTTTAAATGTGAATGGTTCGGATTATCAAAATTGATCTCGAAATGGGTCCATTTTGCCACACAACAGCTGCTACTGCGCGGGCTGCGCAGCAGCATTGAGTTCATTGTATCTATCTTTATTTTGGTAATAAAATTTCTTGCCAAAAAAGATGGTTTCAGTAGAATATCAAATGGTGGCTGGCTTGAGTGGGAAAATGTGTTGAGAAAAACATATCAGTTTTTTAAATAAGTGAGATTGTATGTTGAGAAAAACATCACAGTTTTTAAAAACTGTGATTAACTTGACAAATGGTCAAATTGAGATCTTATTAACATTTGATCTCATTTTTTAAACTTTTTGTCACAGCTAAAAATTGTAATAGAAAAAAATGCACAAGCCTCATCCATAAGAATTTTTGTGTTAAAAAAAGTTGAGATTAAAAGTTTAAAGTCACAGTTAAAAACTGTGACCTTTAACCAATTTTGTAGCAATAATATATATATTTTTTTTTTGTTGAGAAAAGTAATAATACGTTTTGATGTGAATGCTCATATTGTTAATGTTAGCATTAACAACTTACCGAGATTTAAATCAGTTTGTAGTAATAATATGTTTTTGTTTTTTTTTGTTGAGAAAAGTAATAATACGTTTTGATGTGAATGCCCATATTGTTAATGTTAGCATTAACAACTTACCGAGATTTAAATCAGTTTGTAAGATGGTCTAAAATAAATGAACTAGAATAGAAATCTCTCATGAATCTCATATATTTGACACTATATCAGCACAACCTACTCTTTATAATGAAATAGAGATGGATTGTAAATTCTTGGACTAATGTAGATATTGTTCTTCAACACAACACAGAGAACATCAGATTCACACACAAAACTTAATCGAAAAAGAGACTCCAAATGACTCCTATTCAAACAACTAACAGTGATAAATAGGGGATGATTTTGTTAAAACTAACAAATAATCTAAAGTTTAAAGATGGAACAATATTTGGAATAAACGTTAGAGCATTTACAGGAGATTCTTTAAATAAGGTCTGTTAGTTATTATAGATAGTATTATCATATTTTTGTCAATCCAACTGGTTAGTTATTACAATAGCTATTTTAACCCTCTCCCTCCCCTCCCATCCCCTCCAAAAAATATCAAGTCTACCTACACTTGAAGAGTTTTGCGAGGATTTTTAAACAATTTGTGTGTATAGATAGGTAAAATAAAGAGTAGAGATAGAGTACACACATTAAAAAAGAAATTAGGTAAAATAAAGAATATACCTTTTTATATTTTAGCTAATAAAAAATGAAGAGTATGGTTGAAATTATTCGTAAAATATTTTAATCAAATCTTTTTATATTCACTTAATTTACATACACTAAAAAACTTCACCAAATACCAAAAAAATATTACAAAATATATAAATTCAAGATATTTTTGTATATATTTTTACATTTATTGAATGTTTTTAAGATTTATTTACAAATATTTTACTTTTTAAATACATTTAGATTAAAATATTTTAAAAAATAAAATATTTGAGTGAATAAATTGTTTTTACTAACAAAATCTTGAAGATACACCACCATCTAGCTTAGCTGCTAGCTCAGCTAGCCTAGGTTGCAGTCGCAACTCCAAGCTACAGCTCCTACCACAGCTCCAACCTCAGCTATCAGTTTAGATATTTTGAAAAGATATTTTGTAGAATTAGTTAGGGGTTAGTTGTAGAGGTTGTTAGTTTGTTAGAGTCATTATATTGTATATAAGTATAAGTGATGTATGTACTTGGGATTCATTGTGAATGAAAGAGATTTGATTACAAACTTCTTTATGGTATCAGAGCCACAGAAGCTCTATCGAGCAACTGATCCATGACAACATCACTTTCTTCTTCTCTTCCTTCAAATCTGACTTTACTGATCTCTAATCTGCCATCCTTTGTTACAGTAAAGCTTGATGGAACAAATTTCATCATTTGGCAACTCAGCTCTCGAATGTTCTTTGAGCAACCAATCTGCTTGGTTAGGTTGATAGCTCAATCACATGTCCTTCATCTACAATCATTGATTCAACAGGGAGTTCAGTGCCTAATCCCGAATTTCTTCAATGGACTATGATTGATACACATCTATTAAGTTGCATCACTGCAACTCTTATACCATCGATTTATGCATCTGTTCTGCAATTTCATCACTGTTTAGAGGTATGGGCATTTCTGCAAAAGAGATTTACGACTTTATCTCGTTCGCATGTTCATCAATTGAAAAATAAACTGAATAGTGTTGCTAAGAAATCAGATACAATGGAAGAATATTTGTCCAAAATCAAGGTCATAGTTAGTCAATTAGCTTTGGCCTCTGTTATCATTGATGATAAGGATCTGGTCCTCATTACTCTAAATGGTCTTCCTTTAGAGTATGATGATTTTTCCACCACTGTTCTATCTCAAAAGAAGTATGCTCAGGATATTATTCTTAAAGCTAGTATGTTGGATTGCAAAGCTTGCTCATCTCCTATCTTTGTCAAGCCTGGTCTGCCTGCACATTCAAATGAGCCCTTTGCTAATCCATCTGTCTATAGAAACATAGTTGGAGCCTTACAATATTTGACAATTACTAGACCTGATATCTCATTTGCTGTGAATCAATTATGTCAACATATGTATAATCCCACTGTTGGTCACTATGTTGGTATAAAGAGGTTGCTTAGGTTCATTAAGGGCACCATTTCTCATGGTCTTACCTATAACCCCAGCTCATTTGATCTTCATGCTTATTCCGATTCCAATTGGGCTAGAGATTCTGTTGACAGAAAATCTACCTCAGGGTATTGTGTATTTTTAGGATCCAATCTCATTTCTTGGTCATCTAAAAAACAAGCCACTATCTCTCGATCCTCTGCTGAAGCAGAGTACAGATCTTTAGCTCATACAATAGCAAAGCTTGCTTGGCTTGGTATGTTGCTTTAGGATTTTTCCATTGTCCCTCCTATAGTTCCTCTTCTCTAGTGTGACAATGTGTTTGCTATTGCTCTGGCTTCTAACCCTGTCTTCCATCCCAAATCTAAGCATATAGAAGTTTATTACCATTTTGTTCGAGATCGAGTGCTTGCTAATCAACTTGTATTGTACTGCATTCCTACCATTGATCAGCTGGCAGATATTTTCACTAAACCTTTATCTATCCCAGATTTTCCTATCTTAAAGACAAGCTCATGTTTGTTTCTCCCTCTATCAGCTTGCAGGGGAATGTTGAAGATACACCACCAGCTAACTTAGCTGCTAGCTCAGCTAGCCTAGGTTGCAGTCGCAACTCCAAGCTACAACTCCTACCACAGCTTCAACCTCAGCTATCAGTTAAGACATTTTGAAAAGATATTTTGTACAATTAGTTAGGAGTTAGTTGTAGTGGTTGTTAGTTTGTTAGAGTCATTATATTGTATATAAGTGATGTAGGATTCATGGTGAATGAAAGAGATTTGATTACAAACTTCTTTACAAAAACATATGAAAAACAAAAAGTTCAAAAAGTCAAAAATTATTTTTGAAAATTCAAAATCAAATAGAGTGATTGGCTCTATGTCAACCCTTTTTGTAATATCTTTTTCCTTTTATTCTATTTTTTTGATTTTATTTTATACTTTCGACTATGGCTACAAGTTCTACAAAATCGTGGTCTAATTTTATGGAGAAGGATTTCTTTTGTCCAAAATCTAGATTGGAGGGGCCTGTTTAGGCTTGTGGGGTTCACTATTAGGTCTATTTTCATTATCCGATCCATTAATTTTGTCAGACAATTCGTGTATTTCATCTATAAAAAAAATTAAATTGATCCGATACTTGTTTAATTTATTACTTGTTTAATTTATTACTTTTGTTATAAAAAACATGTATGATTTTTTTTAAAATATAATTGTCGTATATTTTTTTAGTGAAAAATATAAGAAATACTTAACAAAATGAACAATTTGAATAATCAAAATAGAGTCCGTAATGGATTTCACAAGCCCAAATAACTCCTGCAATCTAAATTTTGAAGTAGATGAATCCTCCTAATCTTATTAGAAAAAAAATTAAGCAGGGAGCAACTCCAACTGGCGGTCTCTTATCTATTTTAGGGTAAATTACACTTTAACCCTCTGTGGTTTGCCCAAAAAACACGGAGCCTTCCTGTAGTTTCATTTGTAGCACTTGAACCCCTAAACTTTATACCAAATTGTAATTTTTGACGGATCCGTTTATTTAACCAGAGCGTGAGATTCATAAGCATAAAAGTGTAAGCAGCACTCTCTCCTGCCAAAAACATTACATTTTTTGATCAAAACACCCTTTCTCTCTCCCATCATTATATAAATATGCAACAAAGAAATTGAGGCCTCTGAAATTGCCCAGATTATCTCTGGATTTCTTCCTCACTGCACAGCAAAACTAGCCTGCAATTCCACACCACCATCCACCCTCCATCTCCTTCTCATTTCCCTTCCTTATCACTCGCTTCATCCAACAAGCCAAGGCGATACCCACTGCACTGCCACACCATTCCCATTCAGCAACACTACAGCTAATATATATACACACATCTTCAAAAGCAATCTCCAAATAAATTTGTCAAATGGATCGGACCCAATTAGAATTAAAGGAAATTATTATTTTGAATTATTCAATAAAAGTTGCAAATTATAATGCAAAGAAAGTTGGAACTTGAAATAGTTTTTACCTCATAACTTCATATTTTTTTAGTTTGAGGTGTTGTATGTAGGTGGCTACTTTAACTAGGACAGCTATGTCTACTTCCATAAAAAGGAAAAAAAAAAGGTGAGGAAGAGGGGAAAAAAAAAAAAAACCCAGTCATGAGTGCTAAAAAAAAAAATTGATGGGATTCATACCAACAAAACCCACTTTATCTTCTCCAAACCGCATGCACAAACAGACCTGAAAATATCAAATTTTCAAATTCAAACACACCACTTCAAGCCCTTATATCTTTTTCATTATAATTTTGGTTTGCCTCATTTTTGCGTTGTTAAATTCACCTCACGGCCTAGTTTTCGTATCACTTCTCACACGCCTTATTCCACTTCTTTTTGCATGCTTTCAGAGCTCTGAAAATTGACCAAAAAGAAGTTTTTTCTTCCCGTTTCCGACATTTCTTCGGCCCATCTTTCGAACTCCATAATTTTCTCGATTCTTAACTGTTTTGCCCTGTTCTTTCACTAATCTCTTTACCTTGCTTTATACTTCATCCTACGTTACCTCGTGTGGGAGCCAAATAATAGGAAACGCAGATAGACCGAGTACACATTTGGCTAATCACTATATATTATACTCACTCCAGTCTCGTACGTTCTGGATGCCGAATAACTTAATCGGCCATAAAGATCAGTTGAGCGAGGGGCCGATTGAAAGTTGAAATACGGCAAAAGGGGGGCCCGAGTGAACAATCACATGACGGGTCAAGAGTGGGCCCTCCCCTGAGGACCAGGAGCGTATATAAATAGAAGAACAACAACCAAAGAGAGGTATGTGAGAATTAGTACATTTTACTTAAGTTACAAGTAACAAAGAGAGCATACACTGACTTGTCCTTCAGAGTGATAATTCCGGCACCTCCCGACCGGAGTGTTCATTCTTTTTAAGGTTTTTAGCTGAGGATCTTGGGGCGTCCCATTGGATCCAAGGAGTATTTCCAAACCACTTCCCCATAATTGGCGCTGTCTGTGGGAATACTCAACTACATTCATGGCGGCCGTAACGGAAGATCCTCCGATAGTCGCTGACGAAACCACACCGAGAGATGACCTCACTCCAACAAACATGCTGGGACCGGAGAATATCGCCGCAAGACGTGCCTTGAACTTTGACTCACTTGCCCAGACCTCACCTTCGACCTCAGCACATGAGACAATGCAAGCGATCATAGAACATGCGAAGCAAAACGAATAGAGGCTAGAAAACATGATCGCTGAGAACGAGCGCCTCCACTAGGATTTGGCCTTGGAAGTAGCGAAATCCAAGCAAGCTGCACGCCAAGATCCTGGACGACCTCTGAGAGAAGATGGTCGACGACCCCGAGTTCGAGGTCAAGAAAGTGATAGTGACTCAGACTCATCATCCCTAGAACCCAACAAGAAGGGACGAATCGAAACCACTAGTTCCTCCGAAGAGAGTCCGCGTGCACGCCATAAGCGAAGGTGAAATGGTTCGAGCGAAGAAGACTAGCATAATCCCTTTGTGCGACGGAGCTCAAGGGCCGTTCTGCCCAAAAAGTTCAAACCTCTATCGTTCACTCTCTATGATGGAAAATCAGACCCCACCGATCACATCCGTCATTACAAGCAAGCCATGACATTGCATGCAGACGACGAGGCCCTCATGTGCCGAATATTTCCCAGCAATTTGGGACCGTTGGCTATCAAGTGGTATTATAAACTGGAGCCGGCTTCGATCAAAAGTTTCCATCAATTACAGAAATCCTTCAGGGCCAGATTCATCACCAATGAGGTCCAGCA